TAGGGTTCAGGGTTTAGGGGTCGTTGAAAAAGTGCCATCTCTTTGTTCTGACACGGATGGCACTTTCCATAAGCAGGGGACTCCAATTTAGCACACAATATACTGCACTATAGTCCAGCTTAGAGGAAGCCCACAAAAGGGACGCCCAAGTCCTGCAAACTTCCAGAGATTGCGAAAAATATCAAGATTTCAGACGTCAAGGAACGAGGAAGGTACTGCAAAAAAACATGTAGAAGTAAGAATGTCATTTGCTCAGTACTCTTGCGTGAACCTTGAACCTAGGCACTTGCACTGGACATGCGGCAGAGGTGTACATCAGAAAGACTCAATTAGCTCGAGGGGTCCCCCTAAACCCTAACCCTAAANNAAACCCTAAATTCTAACCCTAAACCCTAAACCTGAGCCCTAAACCCTGAACCCTACACCCGGAACCCTAAACCCGGAACCCTAAACCTGGGGAGCTGGGTCACCGAAATGATCAACTACTGTATCTTGATGGTGGCGAACATATACTCGACATTGTGGTCTGAGTGCTGGCATCCAAGGTAAAGGTTACTTCTTAAGATTCTGTGCTAGAGATTTGCTAGCTGATCTTAAGGTTTCAAGGGCAGGGAGAACAGAGTTGAGTTTCGGAATTGGCGGGCTTGTGGGTTTCGCGTTGTTGTGCATTCTGTTGCGACATGTACAACGGGAGCTGCCTCCAAGGTTTGCTGGATTTACATGAGCTATACTCTAATAGTCTAAACTTTCAAACTCCTAGTATCCCCCTGTATAACCCCCATAGTAGTCCCCTTTCAGAGTTCACATGCCTTCTTGCCACATGTGTGCGTGCAGGGGAAGGGGTGAGTGGACGTACTCAGAGATTGTACATGGATTAGGTTGAGGCTGAGCGTCTACGGTTGGTCTATATGGTCAGGGACTTCCCCTGAGCCCTAAACCCCAAACCTAAACCCTAGACCCCAAGCCGAGATCCTAAACCCAAAAACCCTAAACCCTTAAACGCTAAACCCTTAAACCCTAAACCTAGACCCTAAACTTAAACCTAGACCCTAAACCACTAAACCTTAGAACCCTAAACCTAGACCCTAAACCCTTAACCCCTAACTCCTCTCGAGAATTAGGGAGAGAACGTCCGCATCCCGCTAGCCTCCACCTTGAGCGTTGCTCCGCAGACCACCTGGCTGTTCACCAGAGCAACAGTTCAATGTTCAGGGTTCAGAGTTTAGGGTTAAGGGGTTTAGGGTTCAGAGTTTAGGGTTAAGGGGTTTAGGGTTCAAGGTTTAGAGGCTTAGGGCTTATGGTTGGGAGCACAGGAAACGGCAAAAGACCGACGGCAAAGGATTCTTGTCACTTGGATCTGGCTCATGGTCATCATGGTTGCAACAATCGCAGTGCTTCAGGCTTGTCTAGCAGTAGCACTGAGAATAGGGCCACTAGTCGTCAGGATAGTTGTGCTACTACAGAGAACACTGAGGGTAACGCATGACGCTGGTATTATGCACAAACATCATCTAGGAATGCCAGAGCTTCTCAAAGAAAAAGTCATGCTCAAAGTGTCCTGGAGGGGCAGAACCTACAATTGCAAGCACATCTGACTCCTTTAGAGAAGGCTCTCTTTTGGGTGTTCCTCGATAAGAGCCCGACTTCCAAACAAAAACGGCCTTGTGGCTCTTGCACATGGCAAGCATTGGCTGACATCATTGCTTGGTTGGCCTTTGGAGCCCCTTGAAAAGTATTAGTACCAG